GTGGTTACAATTGGTGCCCAATGTGGGTAAGGGTCCTAAGTACATTGCCAAAACATTTCCACATGATGCTACACTAGAAGACAACAAGGAACTTCTGTCAGCATAACAATTAAAGAACAATGTAGCAATTATAGTGCTTGGCGTGTTCTGGGAGTTCTAGTTCGCTAGATGATATAACTTTTTAAAGAATAAGCTGGCAACTGAACTGCAACTCCCATAAGACAAATTGGAAAAACCCCAGAGAAGAGCATTAGAGTGTCCTGATTGGCTGATCGTGTCTTTTTTTGGAAAGTGCATGAGAAGCCTGACAGTTAATTGTCAACACAGGAACTGCAAATGTGAGTATCTTCTTATCTTTCAGTATTTTAGATTCATCTGCTTTTGCAACTATTTTGAAATAGGTAATCGATACAGCACATTCACAAAAAGCAGTGGGATAATTCCAGAGTGATGTGATTCACGTGGCAAAAACACTACACATTTAGTGACTAAGGATTTGTGCAGGAGACGTGGTGATGATACCTGGTGTTCAGTTGGTCATGTGATAATCTAGTAGAATGGGTGGATGATGATTTTTCCAGCACTTGGGATAATTGGGTTCGAGGTAACATACGATAAAGAGAAGGAGATCACAGTTGCCCTGTAGTCATACAACTGTCAATAGAAATTAAATATAAACCTCACTCTTTCTAGCAGTAAAAATGCTACCTGTTATTATATGAAATATTCATCCCATTAAATGCAAAAATAACAGGAGATAAAACTGTGCCTTTTTGTGCTGGGAATAAAAACGGTCTCTAACGTTGAAACATTTGCCCATTTAACACTAAAAGGCTGTTTCTTCCCTGTTATTTTATCATCAGCTCAGCAGGGAATCCCATCATAGTGACTCCATTAAGAAAAATGCTTACTATATATATTTATATAGACAAAATGTACCAATCTTGTAATTCTGTTCCAGATTCCATTTTGTTTTTTAGATATGACGGATTTCTAAATTTGTTTAAATTAACTTGCAAACAATTGCTTATTTTCTCTCTGTTACTCATTGCTTATTGTCTAATGTCCTTACATACTCCTGCTGCAGACACATCTTAATTCTCAATAAATCACAACTGTTGCACATTCCGCTACGTGGAATATTATTAATCAAAATAAAGACAATTAAAAGATGGACAACGACTTGCATGGGGAGCAGTAGAACGTTATATTTGTTGCACTCACAAGCATACTAAAAGTAATGTATACAGACATAATGTAATACTTGGTATTAGAACACATAATGGGACATTAACATGAAGAGAGCTATCTTTTATAATGTCACCTTGCATTCAACAAATACTGGCACTGTCTAAGCAATCCCAATAATCCCACTACATTGATTAATCCCATGATAAGGGCAAGAGGATAAAGCTACAGATGTTTCTATTTTCTCCCCCAAAAAAGCAAAAAACCCACAAATCCTTTCAAGACGAGCTAGTTTGACTATCCATTTTGCAGAATGAATATGCAAAACAGCATTTATGTGATTAATTCAAAAATACATGCCCAATTCTGCTAATGTTGATTTTGCAATTTTCATCCAAATGGTAGTGCTTGCATTATCTGACAAGGTAGTCATTGACATTGAAATAGTTGACCTTAGGTGTGGAAATCCATGGTGATAACATGTTTCCTGTTGGGAGATAAATTCTAACCCATTAGATGTGTTGGTTTTACACAATAATAGCCTGTTGATTGGTTGAAAGGACAATACCAAAGGTCTCTGAGCTACGACACTGAGCGAGACAAGAATTTAAATTACAGCTTTGTTGATCTTTTCAACTTAAAGCTACATATTATTTATTCTGTTCGCACTTCTACCCATTATTTCACAATGAAAATTTGCCTTTCCCGATGATACCAATGAAAAGCTTTTGAGCGGAGAAGGTGTAATTATCATTGATTATGAAGCACAAAAACTGCTCAAACTGAGGCTAAAGTAGCTGTTGATTACTAAATACCAACATGGTGATTTTATGCATAGTTGAAACGATTCATGAATATACATAATTGTTAAGTACTGTATCTACTTTTGCAGTTCCATTGGAGTAACACGCTAATGCTGACTTTAGGAGAAAAATACAGCATTTTAAGTAAGAAACAGAACGGAGGAATACTCCATTAAAAATTCTGAATACAACAATTCTTGAATATAATGCAAGATATATTATTTCCTGACTTTATCAGATTATAGTAACAATGTATCAATTGCCAACAGTCAAATCATTAGTAGCAGTAAACTGGTCATTCTTCAGGTTATTAATAAGACAATGCAACTTCTCAATCAATTATGGAACTCAATTATGGAACTGTTAGATTTAAAAATTATTCTCAGTATATCACTGAGCACTCTTTAAATTACTAGTAGTAGAGCATAACTGCTTGATACATGCAGGGTTAGTCACTAAAGTCCGAATGACACGGTACCATCTGGGACAAAACCATCCGGCACTGTACG